GCTGCAGGCTAGCAGTGCTGTTCGGAGCTGTGCAAAAGTGTTGATTGCAGTTGTGTGACACATTTGGAGCAAATAAAATAAATCCATATCAATCACTTATTCTTTTTTTCCTATTTTACTCTCTTTCCTACTCACTGCCTGGCTGGCTGGCTGTCAGTTACACACCAGAGCACACACACACACACATACACTCCTTTTGTGAGCAGAAGCTTTGGTTGTACCATTAAAAAGTTATGCGGTTTTAAATTAAAATTTCACATTAGAACTGCCAGCTGTCATCAGCGTCAATTTGCGATTCGGCTGCAACTGATTAACCGCCATTAACCCGGTAATTCAACAGAGATCATTTGACAATGGAACAAGGGTTTATTTGTCCATTTGTTCCAAATGGATAATAAGCGACATGATTAAGATCGAATTGTGTGGAATATTAGATTTCTGACATAAACAACAGTCGGATTTTTTATTTTAGTTATTGAAAACATAATTATACAATAGCACAACCTTGAAGTCGAGGCCCGATTTTTGGGCATCGGAAAAAAACTTTTAAGTTCAATTAGACGTGCCTCAACCATAATCATATGAAACAGCTTTCCGAACTAATCTTATGGGCTATAATGTAATTGAATTTTTGTGACATACCATAACGCCATACACCCTTGCCGTAGATATCCATTGAATTTTGGATATCTGCCGTAATGATAACAAAACAAATTATTTGTGTTATACCCTACACCAGAAGGTGGGCAGGGTATTATGTCTTTGTGCAAGTACTAAATACGAAGAGTACTAAGTGATACTAAATTGGAACAAAGCTGGAATACTCAAATTTTGATATCGAGCGTTCTGTTGGTATCTGGATTTGAAATACAACAGGGGTAAGGAGTTGACCAGCTTAGTCTTAGTCCGCCTTAAATGTTGTTGTACTTTCAGGAGTCTAAAAAACCTTTTCTTTTATGTTCAGACAGTTATTCGTCAAGTGTTAATGGAGAATTCTAATTTTTGGAAATTGTGTGGACTAATTAAGTTAACTCGATATAGAGAGCCTTAGAGCTTATTCTGGCGCAGCAGGAAGGATGGGAACATAAAACATTACCTAATTCTATTCCTTAGCTCGAGGAGCTTTTCTGAAAGGAATACTAGAGTAACTAATATTTTTTTTGTTGCGCTTATATTCTTGGCTTCTCATGCCTATCACTGGGGAGCAATATAGGGATAAATCTTCCTACGTTCTTCTTAAGAGCCGACTCACGCGTATATAAGGATAAATCCCCCAAAACTGGATTTTGGTTGATACATTTTTATACCCTACACCAGAAGGTGGTCAGGGTATTATGTCTTTGTGCATTTGTTTGTAACACGGAAAAAGAAACGAGATAGACCCAAAGTTCCTTTTGATGATCTGCACAGAATTACATTCTGAGTCGATATATGCATGTCCGTCCGTCCGTCTGTCCATGTATTTTTGTAAACAAAGTACAGGTCGAATTTACTGCCCGATCCAGATGAAATTTCGCACAAATAATTTCTTTGGCACAAGGACGACCTCCATTGAAATTGGATATAATCGGTCAAAATTTAGATATAGCTCTCATATACATCTTCGACCGATTTGCTTTTTATTGTGCACCAAACGTGTAATATCAGACCATATTGTATGGAATTTTGCACAACATACCAAATTAGACCCTAAAATAAGTATGACAAATTTGATTTGATCGAAATCGGTTCAAATAAAGCTTAAGCTCCCATATTGTTCATTCGATTTGCTATTTTTGTTCTCCGCAGCCGTAATATGCACTCTGTAACAGCGATGTTTGGGGAAATGTATCAAATAAAGCTCATAAATACCTTTGCTAAATTTTATGGAGATCGGCTCAGATTTGGATATAGCTCCCACATACAACTTCGTCCGATTTGCCCTTTATTGTGCACCATACGTGTAATATTAGCCTAAATGGGGTGGAATTTGGCAATTGCCACCAAATTGAGCATAGAAACAAGTACGTCAAATTTGGTGAAAATCAGTTCAGATATGGCAATAGCTCCCATATATATTGTTCATCCGATTTGTTATATTTGTTCCCCACAGCCGTAATATGCAGTCCGTAATAACAATATTCAGGGAAATATATCAAATACAGCTCAGAAATATCTTTGATAATTTTATCGCGAGCAGTTCAGATTTGGTGATTGCTCCCATTTATATTTTTATCCGATTTCAAGTTAATTATGCACTAAATGGGTAATACAAGCCCGAAAGATACAAATGTCCCGACAAATTTAGTCCTTCGGACTTTAAATTATAATTATAATCATAGCTGTTATGATATAATTCTCACAAACTCCCCATGAAAACTTTTATTTGTTATGTGAAGGTCTACTAAATATGCAAAGTGGTGTAGGGTATCATAAATATAGCCCCCATATAGCGGTACCTCCCGATATTCGGTATTTTGATGATTTTCGCAATCTATTTTTTCACGGATTTATCTAAAAAATGGTATTTGTAGTTCATAATGGATTCCAGTTTTGGAAATGTGAACGAAGGGCACAAACTGTACAATCGTACTAAATTTGGAAAAGTTTGGTTTAGGGTGAACAGAGAAGCTTATATTTAGAACAGTGTTGGCTTGTTTGTTCGGGATGCCATAGTATTTTGTGGTTGCAAAATGGTCAGGCTTAATCCCTTTATTGTTGTTTTTATACAAACAAAAAACGTTTGTTTATAAGTGGAGAACGATTGTAATGTTTACCAAGGGGTAAGGGGTAAGAGAACTGATAAAAACAACAATAAAGGGATTAAGCCTGACCATTTTGCAACAACAACATATTACTATATTCGCTACAATTTGGTATTGGGTGAACAGATAGTGCTTGAAATCTGAAATTTGGTATTGGAGGTGGTTTCGGATATGTGCAATATAATTATGAGAAAAGTACTGAGTGGTCCTATATTTGATATTGGGAATAGAGATTAAAATTTGTTTGAGATTTGGCGGGATAGAGTTGAAGTCGTGAAATTGTATATTGCTATAACTATTGGTGTCTATGATTGAGTTGTGTAGGGGGGTTTGGAAATATGTACTTTAATTTTGCGAAAAGTACTAAATAGTACTAAATTTGGCATTGGGTGAAAGGAGGTAACTGAAATTTGATTTAAATGTCACTGTTGGTGTCTGTGGTTCAGAGATGGAGTTGGTTTTGGAAATGTGTAATATGATTGTCCGAAAAGTACTAAGTGATACTAAATTGGGAATTGGTTGAAAGGATAAAGCTGGAATACTCAAATTTTGGTATCGAGCATTCTGTTGGTATCTGGAATTGAGATATGGAGGTTGTTTTTGGAAATGTGTACTATAATTTTACGAAAGTACTAAATAGTACTAAATTTGGTATTGGGTAAAGGAATGGGGCTGGAATCCCTGAGGTCCCTGTTGTGCTATAAAGAACTGTGTAGTACTGAATTTGGAAATGTGTACTATAATAGTTCGAAAAATGCTAAATAGTACTTAACTTGGTATTGGTCGAAGAAATAGATCTGAAATCCTGAAAAGCCGAAATTTGATGTTGATATGTCTGTTGGTATCTGGCATTGAGATATGGAGATGGTTTTGGAAAAGTGTACTATAATTATACGAAAAGTACTAAATTTTGAATGGGTGAAGGAAAAGAGCTGAAATCCTAAAATGTGCTATGGATGTCACTGTTGGTGTCTGTGCTTGGGAGAAGGAGCTGGTTTTGCAAATGTATACTATAATTGTTTGAAAGTACCAAAGGTTATAAATTTTGGATAACTGTTGTTGTCTAGGATGGAGAGATGTAGATGATTTTGGATATGACTACTAAGTCTTATTAAATTTAGGATTGAGTAAGGGGATAGAGCTGACATTCTAACGGAGACGTTGAAATAATTTTGGACAGAAAAATTGGATGTGAGTCCATTGTTCAATAGTTTTACTAATATCCTCCTCGCTAAACTTCAAAATTAAAAGTTCTGGAAGACATTTTGCTGCAAAAGGCAAACATTAAATATTAAGGTGGGCCTTTTGCTGACGAAGTAGGGGCACAAGCCAGTTTTTCTATAAACAATATTTTAAACGTTGTAAATGAAAGGTACAAGGAGAACTGTCTTTATTTCTTAGCTCGAGAAAATTTTCTAAAGGTATCCCAGTTTTTAATATTATTTTTTTAAACATTAATTTATGTTGAAAGGATTTAGAGTTATTTATAAACTTGCTTTGGTGCGCTTATCATCATGGCTACTCATGATTTTCACTCGACTGCAATATTGAGACAAATCCTCCTACCCTCTTCTAAATTATTTACCGTGTTTATAAGCTTTAAAATTCAAAGGGCCACAGCAAACACTGCAGCTTATTCGGTAAGAAATAAGAAGGCTTATGAATATGTGGAGCTATGACCATACGATACCTCGCATTTGTAACTTTTATTCATAAAGAGATGCCACCTTCAAAATCTAGAAATTCAAAATACGACAGGTTTGAGTGGATATTGTGGTGGAATATTTAGAATATCAAAAACCAAATGGTACTTTTTATGAACGTTTACATTAAAGTTATTTTATTTCAGCACTTTACCGTGAGAGGGGTCTTAAATGAAGTCAGGACCTAACGTATTTTTATCGCAAGGAAGTATGAACACTCGCGATATATTTCCGATTTATAACATATCTGATGAAATAAATCCAAAAATGGAAAATTTTCCTCAGGAGGTTGAAACTGTATTTTTCAATAATTGTCAGCTGACCATTTATTTCTACAATATATTTTATATTAGAAATAAATACCTTTTAACCCTTCATTTTCTTATTTCAAAATTTGATGTTCAATTGAAAAACTCCGATATTTTTCAACATTTACCAAAAGTCCGTAACTCCAATCTTGGAATTTCTAATTTCACATTCACTTATTAATTTTTCCCGCTCCCATTGGTATAATAACAACAAGAACAACGTAAACGAAACACCTCCAACTTACCTTAAATTATCAATTCGCGGCCTTCGGCACTGCGGCCGATTGCGCCGATGGCTGCGATCCTTTTTGCAGCGGCAGTCACAGTGCATGATGCACAAAGCTATCGATGAGATCAGTGTTATCACAAATGGCACGGCGAAGAAGTGGACAATCACGTGGACCTGGTCGTCGTGACTGTACGACGTGAGAACGACCGTTTTGTTTTTGCGCGAATAGTAGCATGGATAGATGGCGCCCTCGACGCCGTAAAATGCATTGAACGTTTTGCACGTCACCGTGGGCGGATAGCCGCAGCCCTTGATGTTGACGAGCAGCGTCGCCTCGTCCGACTGCGTCCAGTCGGCCGTGTAGTTCGTGTAGTCGGTCATGTTCTCGGGTATCGTGATATTGTCCTCGATAAACGTCACATAGATATGAACACACTTGTATAGATCGGAGGTGCAGCCCTCGCGGCACGAGCTCCACGAGCAGTTGAAGATGCCGACGAGATCTTCGCGGCGCGATGTGGTGCAGAGCGTGGGATTCTCGATGAAGTCGTGGCTGAGGGTCGATATCGCCGGATCGACGTAGAGGGGCACGAGGAACAGTAGCGAGGCACCGGCGGTCACCGAGAAGAAGGCGAGTGTGGAGGTAGCGTAAAAGCGGGCACGTTCGCGCCACGAACGAAAGCGCCGGTTACCATTTTTCTTTTTCGGAGCCAGTTCTCGTAGTTTACGTAACCGTAACTCTTGTTGTTGCTGCTCGAGTAGTAATTCCGAACTGCCACTCCTCATATTATTGTCCGTGCACACAGGGCGATTATTTTGGTGATGTTGATAGTCTCCGGAAGCAGCAGCACCAGCACCAGCGCCAGCGACAGCAGCCGACGATGATGATGTCGACACTGCAGCTGCAGCAACAGCGCACTCTCGGCACGTAGACGTGTTGTTGGTTGCAGCAAATGCCGACGATGATGATGATGCCTTGCCACCCCTGGTCGTGCCACCACCAGCACCACTCAGAGAATAACGGGGAGGATATTGCTGCCTCCTCAAGTCGTCACACGTTGCACAGCGCAGATACGATGCAGTGACCGATTTCGGAAGTGGGCCTACGCCGCCACCGCCTCCGAGGATACACACAGCCTCTGTTGTGGGGGTGTTATGGCTCTGTTGATGGCTAACAGAGCTCTGTTGCTGGCCGGGAGATGTAACAGCTGTAAACGTTGGCGAGCGTTTACTCGTGCTGGCCGAGGAGGCGGCAATGACGGCGGCGGCGGCGACGACGGCGGTGTTGCTGTTGCTGGCAGTTGTTGCGGCTGTGGGTGAGGGTGAGCAGGTGACGACAATGGGTTCCAGAGGTGTAATGTTATTTTCGTCGCTGGCGTCTCGCTTTTCAGTGGCAAATCTTGTGGTTCTCTTATTTTTGGATGCTTTTGTTGTTGTCGCTCCTGCTGATGGGGGGCAGGTGGAGGGGACGGATGCTTGAGTTGTTGCTGCTGCTGTAGAGATGGATACGGAACCTGGTGTTGCTGTTGCTGCTGTTGTGCAGGTGGTGGGTTGTGCGGCTTTGGTGGTCTTGTTGCTGGGAATGGGGGTGGGAGTGGGCGTGAGGTTGATGTTGTCGTCGTCGTTACTGTTATGTTTGTGTATGGCTGCCGAAGTCTGAATGATGCTGGTGTTGGTGTTGCTACTCGGACTCTCCGAGTGTTCCGATGCCGATGCGCTGGCTGGGGTGACGACGACGACGTTGGTGCTGCCGGCTGCACGGGGAACAGAACGCTGAGCAGCAGGGGCAGCCGTAGCGTCAGCGACGCAAACGACGTCGTCGTGTTTGCTAACTTTTGAGGATTGTATGTTGCCAGTGTTGTTGAGAATTTGGAAAACAAAAAAGAAAACTACCGAGAATCACCTCGTTCTCGTCCTCGTCTCTCGCCGCCGAATTCTCTTTGCAGTTTTGGGGAGGGTGGGGGTGGGAGAGGCGAATCTTAGGATTTCGATGTTGCTGGTCTCTCAATGCAAGACATGGGGGAGGAGTAATTAGTGTTGATTGTTGGTCAAGGTAAATATTTGAGGTTGTTTTTGTTGTTGTTGTTGTTGTTGTTTGTTTTCAAATTGTTGGGCAAATATCCTCAATGATAGCGTTCGGGCAGCTTGAACAACAGTAAGAGTGAGTGGTAGGGAATTTATTTTCTTGGGGATTTCTCTTGTTTTTTGTTTGGAATACTTTTTTTTTGCTTTTCTTCTTTATTTTTTGTTTATTCTTTTGCTTCTTCTTCTTCTCGGTATAGCGAACGGGCGAATTACAACGACAGCAGAAAAAAAAAACAAATCACAACATTGTACTGGGATAATAATTCATTGACTAACGAACGAGCGAGCGAGCAACGGACCGACCGACCGACCTACCGACGAAAGACGGAGCAATCAAATATGGACGCTTGCGTTGACTGCCGCCGTTCAAACGAATGACTGCTCTGTTACGTTGGAAAAGCGGAAATGCACTCTCATCGCAGATGGTATCCCTTCAACTGGGCATTACATGTAAACACTCTCACACACGCACACACACAGAGACACATGAACACAAACACGAACACGTTGACAAATTCACGGGTGGTACCTACTACATAAATGCCTATCTTCGAACAGCGTAGAGCGAGAGTCGCGAGAGACACAAACACAACGCCCGATAGATAGTGACAGAGTGGGAACAGAACACAGAGTAATTTCGGGGAGAGTAGTAGTAGTCGTGGTAGCAGTGGTATTCACAACACATAACGGTATCACTCGCTGGCCTGCTCAGGCGCTAACTGACAAACACACCCGCACTGTGTTCGAAACTAATCGTTATCCTGTCATAGAACATTGGTGGCTGTTGCTGTTGTTGTTGTCGTTGTTCCTGCCTCAGCTGCTGACAGTGATGATGATGGCACACTCTCTTTCTCTCTTGTTGGCGCCTGCTCCAAAATATATGGAAATTGAGAGAGATTTGCTGTTACATAAAACACACTCTTTGAGTTATAACTTGTTAACTTTTCACGGAATGATGAGTTGAGATTGTAGTAAAGAGGGAGAGAGAGAGAGAGACACTATGACAAAAAGAGAATAACTTTCATTGAGTATTAGAGGAGTTCACGAGTTAATTTCATGGCAATGTTTTACCAGAACAGCTGATGTGTTTGTTGTGATTTTTGTTTGTTGTTACTTTTTTGTGATATATTTTACAGCGCAGATTCTTTTCTCTTTATTTTCAACTCTTCCTCTTCTGGATTTCTCGTTTATGTTTGGTTGACGGATAGATGTATTGGTGGCCTACTGATAATGAAAGATTTGTTTATGTTTTTGTTGTCCCTTTTATCTTTCTTTTGCTCTTTTTTTTACACTTTTTCTTCACTTCACAGCTGATTTCGAAAACAAAATGCGTGAGAGAGAATTTTGGGTGGTATTTCGGTTTTTGTTTACATTTTCGATTTCTTGTTGTTTTTCTTTTTGAGTTGATTTGAATTGAAAAAGGAATGACACTTTTGTTATTGTTGTGATGTTGGGGTTTTTTCTCGTTTGTTTTTTTTTCTTTTTTTGCTTTGCAAATGTCACAGGTAAATTCGAATGAGAAATAAACTTGTTTTGGTTGTTGGCTTTTCTTTTATTTTAATAGGAGATATATTATGTTTCACTGGAGATTTTTCTTGAGTGAATTATATCTGAAAATAGAAGAGTGTAAATATAAGTTAGACAAAATGGATTTTTGTTAATGATAAATTATATTATAAAAAATATATTAATTGGAAACAACAGTTCTTTGAATATTAATCATTCCATTATCAAAGAATCACAGTTGTATCTTTCTTGCAAAGCAAATTTCGAAGGTCTTCTCTTGAATGTTCCCCATCTATAGAAGGCTCCATGGAAATATTTTATTGGCTGCAATATGTTTTTATATCCTCCACCATAAAATGGATGGAATATTCAATTTGTCATTCTGTTTGCAATATCTCGAAATATTCTTAACCGATTTAACAATGTCCATCAACTGCCTGTAGTCAAGAGAGATTCCTACATTATTTGTAGAAGGTATCCAAAATTCGTCACAAAAATTAGTATTGTGTTTTCCAAGATGGGTTCCGAAAATGAGCTCCATTTGCCCTTACATAGCTATACCTCCCAATTTTCAATGTTTGAAGTTTTCAGCCATATTTTCCACCTGAATCAGCTGCAGTTCTACATTTTGGGTTTTTATTTGAAAAGTTCTCGATGTAGGTTCACTAGTTGGTATAGTTCCCATAAGGACAGTACACATTTCGAAACAAATCCGGTGGGACACAGCTGGAAAATGTGCCTTTCTTTAAAAAATGAACTGAGCATGTCAGAAACCTAGGCATTTCGCAGAGCACCCTTACTCAAGGCCCCATCCTGCGTGCGTCCCTGGACACCGTACAAAGTACCTTATGATTCTCGGCATTTTGAATTTGATATTTAGAGTTCTTTTTAAGTAGAATTTCTTCTTGAAAAACGTCTCTATATAGGTCTAGCATTTGCTATAGACTCCATACAAAGGTAGTTCTTTAATTAAGGTCTTTGTTAAAAAGGTTATGTAATTATGTAAATATATTTTTACTTCTGTTATGATTATTCAAATATATGATCCTTGATGGAGTATGTTCCGAAGGAATGAGTCATTTCGTATCGGATCTAAATAAATATGATATAAATATTGCGACGTGCCAGGTTTGGACCATATTAGTTACTTCCTTCTCTTTATATGCAGCATGTGATAAGTTTTAGAAAATGTTAAAATGTGCGTGAGGTGCCAGATATAATCGACCGAAGTATTCCATTTTCATCATCTTTATATCTTTATAACAGAAGCTTATTTCGCTTTCTTTGAAAATTTCGTTTTTCAAGATCTTGAACCCTATGTGGAGAAGGTACCAAAAGAAATGGTCCGATTTCTACCATCTTTAAAACAGATCTTTTTTTGATGAAAATATCGAAATGTACCAAATCTGAATGGAATCGAATCTTAATTTCGAGTTTTTTGAGCTTCATAGATATTCAAAAATTTTACCCTTTGTGGGGGAGCTAACAAAAGGAGTGGACCATTATATACTATCTTCACATCAGATCTAGTGTGGTAATAGGTTGTGTGAAATATGAACAAAACCGGATGCTTATTTCGCATTTTATAATCGTTTTGGTTATTCAAAACTTTGACCCTTTGTAGGGGAGGTACTTGATGGAGTGGACCGATATTGTCCCTTTTCGCACCTGACCTAGCACTGATGCAAATATTTGGATTTGTAAAGTTGTAGCAAAATCGGATAATCATTTCTCTTTCTGTGCAGTAAAATATTTTTTCTTAAACTTCGATCTTTTGTGGGGGAGGTACCCGATGAAGTGGACCGATATTGTCCATCATCGAATTCGAACTTTGTTTGATCATAATATTACGATGTACCAAGTTCGGATCAAATCGGATACTCCCTTCGAGAGTTATCATGCACACCAGGCAGACAGACGGACGGCGGGACATCGATAAATCGACTCCAATTGTCGTGAAACGGATTTGGTCTAAAGAGACCTAGGATCTGTCTATCCCTCTGTAGCCGATACCTTCTGTATATCGATAATATGTGGGGACTTTGACCTTTATAGACAATACTTTGGCGTTTAATAACCGGTAACACCTCTTCTGGATAAGTAAACTATACTCCGAGAGCAAATTCCTTCATAAACGGGTTTCAATAAAGCTTTGACTTTCATACCATAGCCTGTACTAATGTTCTGCGCCATTATCTAAGGGTTCACTCTTATATATTTGAACTGCGCATTCTGGAACGTGACAGGTCTGAATTCAATGGGGTACCCGATTTGGCCCCAACTTGGTACATAGTAAATCGATACACTATTAAATTGGTTTCAATCCCTTTAAAATGTTTCGTATTTTTCGTCCCTAAATTCAAACATTGAAATATTTTATAAAACAGGTTTTATACCATTTTTCAGTTTATGCAACTCTCTGGAACATTTATTTCACATTTTTTTAAGAAGATCCCTTTGATCCCTTAGCACAAATTCTGTTCCTTAATAATCGTGTGTTTCACTAACGATCTTCTCTTAGCCCAACTGTTGTTGGTTCTGAATAGGCCTATTCTCTATATGTGCTCAAAAGCATTATTCTCCATTAACTAGTAATATATAACAATACCAAAGGGAGGTAATAAGAAGAGTGACCTAGGTTAAAAATCTTCACTCAAAATCTGTATTCAAAATCGCAAAATTCCAAAAAGTTTTTCATCCAGAATAATCGAAAAATAAACCGTTCTGTAATTTTCATTCATAAAAATTTGCACCACGAAAATTTATTCAACACACACAAATATGAGCATATTTTCGAAACCCTGTAGCCCTGATGAAACCCAACTCTCATTTTGATGATTGCTTTTCCATCCAACCAAATGAAACTAATGTACATTTCTACACAACGATGACAACGGAAATTTCATTGAAAATGAAATGCCACAACAACACAAGAAGGAAGGTGTGAATGTACACAACATATGTGTATGTGTGTTTATTCTCACAAGTATATGTGTGTGTGTGCCTGGTTAACATTACACTAAAAAAACACAAGCATAGACCCATTTTTATACATTTTGTTGATGTAGGTTAGTACGATGTTGGGAAAAAAAGAAAATCAGGCCATTTTATTCCCTTTTTAGCGAACTATATTTCTCAGCCGCTCTCATGTGAAGAGAAAATAATACATTTCTCTCGCTCTCCATCCCTCTCTCTCTCTCTTTGCAAATGTCAAGTTCCAATTAAAAATACTAGGATATGCATAACATTTCCCTTGAGTAGATGGGCCCTCTCTCGAAAACTCAAGCACTCCTT